TTGTATCTTGAACAACTTTGACACAATGACACAAGTATACAGTGAACATGTACTATGTTTTATTCCAGCAGCTAAAGCTCCCAAACATGAAGAATGAACAAGAATGAATCACCAAGATGTGTTACAAAATATCTAAAAACCCAGAACAGAGAACATGTATGTCTTATTCGTCATCAATATCGGTAGGCACATCTTCATAAGCCCGCAGTCGGTCCCAAAGCTTTTGGATTTTCTGGCCGAAGTCACAGCAGCATGGACAGTCCCCACAAGCTTGACCACCAGAATTCTCCTCAGCCTGTGGAGGCTTTTTCATCCCCGTTGGACTGGTTTCAGATGGTTCAGTTGACCATGTTGACTGCAGTGTGGCCTTGTAAGTTGAATCAGGTGCTTCGTCATCTGTGCACTTCATTAATTTCTTGGGAGTAGGCTCTTGGTCCTATGGTGATCCAAACATGTACTGGCTCTCTTAAAATATATATAAAACTATAAACTTCAAAACAAATGTGAATTTGGAACTACATAGGTCCATCCCAGAATAAAGATGAATATGATTTTTTATATGTGATAAATTCCCACAAATCCTGAAATTCCCTTAAATGGACAACCTTACCACTCTCCATTTAAGGCTCCATAAGACTTTCTTTACCTGCTCAGGTGATGATAGGCAACTGTTTCCTCACTTGGCTGCTTCCAGATGTTTGAGATCCTTGCACATCTAAATCTATTGTAACATTTGCATAGTCTTCAACATCAATGTGCTGTCCACAACAAGAAGACAATATCATAGTGTTGAACACGACTTAATTGTTTTTTTTAAATATGAGAATAATCTACAGCTGTTTTCTTGGATGTCAGATAACTTGTCACTTCAAAATTATTATCAAACCATTTGATTCAGTCTTTAAATGTTTAGTGACCTTAGCTGCTGGAATAAAACATAGTACATGGTCACTACTCGTGTCATTGTGTCTTACACTATGACCGAAACCTCAAATGTAAATGTTTATGGTTATGGGTTTATGAAGATGTGCCTGCCAATACCGATGATGAATAAGATATACATGTTCTGTGTTCTGGGTTTTTAAATATCTTGTAACACGTCCTGTTGATTCATTCTTATTGATTCTTCATGTTTGGGAGCTTTAGCTGCTGGAATAAAACATAGTACATGGTCATTGTATACTTGTGTCATTGTGTCAAATGTGAATGTTCAAGATACAATTAAAAATTGAAGGAGCGTCTTAAAATACATATGTTTGGTACCATATGAAAGGTCTTTTTCTGGTCTTTCAAATAAAAAATATTCTAGATTTTTTCATCACTACCCACATGCCATAAATTATATGTGAAAATTGGCCCATGTTGTGTTTTTTTGTTTTTAACAGGACCCTCACACATAAACTATCTCAAATTTTCAACATTTGGTGATTTCTCTTAACGGTCCTAGTACATATATTGATTCTCAAAAAAAAATTAAGGGTCTCCGACACCGACAAGGAGGTTTAAAAAGGGGCTAAAAATGGTACGCCATGGAAATGAATTAGTTTTTTTTTTTTTTTTTTTTCATTTTTAAGGTCATATAAAATGACAATGAGTTGAGATACCAAACTTTTGATAGATGTTATTTGAAGAGAGAGTAGAGGACTACAAGCCTACAAAATTTCAGCCCTCTATGTGTGATACTTACGGAGATATCGACTTGTGAAAACGACCGAGAAAAAATTATGCGATTTTGGGCCCGTAAATTGACACATACTCCCCTCACTAAATGAGCTGTAACTTGAAAAGTAATGATTGAAAATCACTAAAACTTCACAGGGTTGGTACATGATAGCAAGGGACCAGCTGGTAATTTTTTTAAATTTTTTTGAGATTGAAGTGCGTGGGCCATTTGGTGAAATGGCGTGGAATGACCCTATACTTAACCTCATCCTGTCAGATTTGAGTAATTTTCAATGTATGTCCCTGCACTGGGATCTGTGTAGGGCCCTCACCTGCTGGTCTGCAATATCCTATCTATTGCCACTTAACCGATTGAACCTGAGTCGTATCTCTAGTTTTTGGATGTTTTTGTGTAATCCTTTGTGTGTGTTGTGCAAAGCTTATTTGTGCATTTTAGCCAACAACACAAAAAGATGTTCTGTCAGTTCCACCCACCAACTTTCTCCCACCTTATCCGTACACCTTCAGAAGGCCTAACAATGAAAGCACAGGGCTGCCGTTGTCACTGGTCTGGAGTCCACTGTCCTAATGAACTTCACATAGCGAAAAGCACAAATATTTAGTCGCTTGGTCGGAATCAGAAAGGCAGTATAATAGAGCGTCCGGTGTTTATATCACATGTTAGTCTCACAGACCACAGCAGGGGAAGAGACTGTGACCTTAAAGGAGCTGTGGGGCCCGAGCTCTCTAATTCCATGTTTATGGTTGTGCCTTTTATAACATACGAATGAACGGAACTGCCCAGGCCACAGCCGCACGGAAATATCATCATGCACACTCTGTCCTGCTTCTGCTAATTGGTGCCTCGGTACCATCCCTCCCTGTGGTGTATGCTCGGCTTTGTGCAGGACAACCTGAGGAGCAATGCCAGTGTCAGGCTCTGTTTCAAACTCTAAAGAATTTACAGTTTCAAAAGAGAGGGGCAAGCAGACCTATAGATCTTGTGTAAAGTATAAATGTTTACAGAGCTGTTATATAGACCTACAGGACCATTTGTTTAAGATTAGGATTGGCTCTAGACTACTTCTACTTATCCAATGTCAAAAACTATGTACACAACACATAAGATAGAATGTTGTCATAGTGGTCTCACTACTTAAAACCCTAAAGGATTAATTTCAAAGGTAAAACTGTAAAATAGGTTTAGCAAGTATCTATGTTTTGAGGATCTTCACTCATCTCCTGAATCTGAATTAATTTAATGAGACATCTCCAGATAATAATTTTACATGCTTCTATAAATGGGAGTTTGGGGGTAAGATGTTATGTAGTAAAATCCAATATTCCATAAATCTTTGCTCAATTAATGTAGTAATTTGTACTGATCTAAGACTTCTAGCCTTTGGTCTCTGGTCAGTTTGTTCTGACCCAAACAGCTATAATTTTAGATGTGTCTTTCACATTTTATTATTTTATTAAGAAGTGACTCTTAGACTTAGACTTCATTGATCCATAAGAGAAATGATTTGGACACAGTAGCTCACACAACGCAATATATTAGAAATATAAAAAATATATAAATGATAATAAATTCAAAGTAATAGCAGAAATAGCAAAAGACTGGTGTCAAATACAGTGTAATTATATAAATGTGTATGTACACATAAAAAGTTAAAATATACAAAGAAAGTAATAAAAGAAAAAGTATCTCAGCTATGGTTTTGATGAGGAAATATTATAACAGAGATTAGAAAATAGTTTATCATCGGCCTTTTCAACAACAGCTTATAATGCTGCCATAGTTTGTTTTTGTTTGTTTGTTTGTTTGTTTGTTTGTTTGTTTGTTTTTTGGGTGTTTTTTTTTAGAAATGAATCATGAAGCTGAATGTTCTCCACAACACAAGATATTACACCGTACATGGTTGTTTTTGCCTTCAACTTGCCTTTTGCCTACACAGAAAGATCGGATGAAAAGATCAAAAATATACCTGAGATGTTGCTCTTTTGTTCTATAAATTCAGATTGCATTTGGTTCCAGTCCAGAGAAAAAAAAGCGTATCTGTATTTTTGTTTTGTAGCCTGGGACAATGGGGACAACACAAAGATGAGGATTTGATGGATGGGAAGAGTGAGTATGCAGGCTAAATTACTCCCTCAAATGCTTTCTCATTAGCCCAGCTGGTGGCTTTATCCAATAAAATTAACAAATAGAATGGCATATAGGTCCATATCTTGTTGTTCATGCATTTTCCAGCAGATGGCACAATCGGGCTAAATACCAATAATGCATGTTCCCATCGCAAAATACAGTCTAGGCCTACTGGAGGCAGAGGTAGTACTAGACCAGTGGATTACAAAGTCATAAATTGCCCAATTGACATGATGTTTGAGTAAATGTCGATACTGACTGATAAGAGTATTAAAAGTAATGGTCTGTGATTTCATAATCTTGATTTATTTTTTTTTTTTCATTGTCTCATATAGGCCATGAATAAAGAATTCTCAAATGTGATCATGCAGACTATGATCTAGTCTAATTTTATTCTTAGCATTCAAAAGTCAATGGGTGATCTAACATAAATCTACTCATTGAGTTTCACATTATTTTTTACCTGCTATAAAGACATCCCTTGGGTGAAAGAACCCCTGCATGTTGGGAATCACTGATCAGCTTAATCCAAAGATATTTGTATTCAGACCCATAAAAACTGATTTTCTTTGTGTGAATGAAAATGTCACTGCAATATAGGCGTATAACCTGATGTTGAATGCTGTGCCCTTGGACAAGACACTTCAACCACCTCCCCTCTAGTGTCTGCTATGTGTACACTGGAGTATGAATATGTGTGTGAATGCATGAGTAGTACGCTTTGAGTGCCTTGAAGGTGGAAAAGCGCTATATAAAAAGGTGATCATTGATCATTTACCATTTACATGTCTGCTTTAGTAAATCAAGCCTGGGCCCTACAAGTTGAATAAGGCGTGTCCAAACAAAGTAAAAGTCAAGTGGTTTATCAGGCAAAGTAAAATGCCCTAAATTATCATAACCAGTATTTTTGAAAACATCCACCGCCATAATCTTTTTGAGGCATTGTAGACTATTAAATTCCAAGCCTGGGCAGTCTGGAGTGGTGGCAAAGCCTCTGTTCATGCACATAGCGTATTTGAATCATTTACTGCATTGACCACCAATCTGTAGTGAAGACTGGTGCGGCCGTCGATGAAAACAGATTGGACACCCCTCCAAACTGTTGAGAAATTATGAACACCATTTCCCACAATGCATCTTTACCGGTTGCACGTGTCAGCCCTGCCAACCGGACTGAACGTCACATTCCTGCATTCTCCTTTTCCTTTGGACGGCGGAGTTTACACCAGTAGCTACATAGACCATAGCTAAGCCTTCCCTCTCTTTGGGGTTGGAAAACACTTATGACACGGCAGGTTTGATATTAGAGGAGGGTCCCGAGTTCCCAAGAGTCTCGTTCATACTTGGGGTAAGGATTTGTCCCATTAAGCCGTTATGACCAGTTTGTACTCATAGTGCTGCCCGTCTACGGTAACCAGAGATAATACGGCATAGCATTGTGGATAGTTGCTTTTTCATTAAGACACGCATACATTCACTTCTGAAATAAAGTGTAGCTCTTAGACACGGTCTGCAGTCGCAGATTTCAGCGTTGTTTATTTTCGCGTTCAGCGTTGTTTATTTTCGTATCGAGCTAATGTTAGCCAGCAGGTTAGCCGGATGGATGCGTCACTATTGTTACCGGGGATGAGCGGCTCCCCAGTTATTAATATTATTGTTATGACATGTAATGAGTGCGTCTGTAAAGCATCCTGTAATGTGATTCATGTAGTGTCAGAGAAATGTTGTGATAAGCTCACTTCTACTGTACCATTAGCTAGCATCTTGTGTGGATTACAGATCTCGGGCATCAAGCAGCATGGGCGTGGTGGTCGTGGTTAGGGGTACAAATATTAGCAGTGGAAGTCTTGTTTTAAAACTACTGTATGTTTTTGGCTCTGGCTATTCCACTGGAATCTGTTCAATATTGTTAAGGTCTTACTGCAGTATTGTATTAATATTTCTTGATTGGCATAATTTCATTACGAAAAGCCCCTGTGGGCAGTTCGTTGACCCTAGAGGGCATTAGGGCAAATGTGTGTGTGATGCTGAAGAATGTGACCATGACCGTAGTTGTTCTTACAAAAAAATAAACATTCCCATCTGCCTAACATTTCCAGTTTTTGTGTCAAAAACATACATAAAAAAATAATCTTGAGTTATACTGCTCTAAATGTCAAGTGTAGTCGTTATATTCTTGAAATTCCAGTTATTCTGCCACTGATTAAATCACAAGGATCACACACTGGGGAGGTACTAGACTTCTCCTGTAATTACAAGTCTTTAGGCTTCCCCAATTCATAGATTTATGGTTTACATATGATTTCTGCACCTTCTGTATACTTCTACTGACAGGCAAGAAGAGTTTTCCCACACTAGACCTTTAATTCTGAATGCTTATATTCAAACAAGCACTAGCATGCACATGGCTTCAGTAACTCTAGTAAGTTAATATAAATATAGACATGTTTCATTGATTTCCTTTGTTCTAGTGATTTAATCATTCTTCTCATTTCCTACATATACAAGGGGAGTTACATATTTAATTTGTGTGTAACTTGGAGCTGGAACTTGTGTGTACTTCTAGACCAATATTAGCTCAGTTAGCAACAAGAGAAAAAGTAATCTGTGGAGAAAAAAGGTATGGTGATGTTCACTAACAGCCTCATACTGTTGGGCCCAGTGGGCAGTGTGCTAGTGTGTTATTGTGGTTTACAGGTTAAGTGTAACAGATGAGCACTGTCCAAGCTGAGCCCTCAGACTCAAACCTGTCAATATTTAGGGAAAATATTGGTTTTCATTGCAAAGAGCATCACTAGGTTAAATGGAATGCATGGAAGAAAGTCACAATTTTACCAAAATAGCATATCCTCACATTGTCCGGCCATAGTTGTATGTCTTGTGTGTGTATGTGTTTTTGTCAAATTGACCCTAGAAACACCATGGACTTTTGTTACCTAGGGGCACTGAGGCCTCTGAATGTTTGTGTACACTTTATGCATGTTGGAAGGCCTGTGGTTTCTATTTTAAACATGCTTTTCACACTGGTTGAATGCACAACAAAGATCTGGCTCTAGTAAAATGTCTCTATTGTCACAAGTGTTCACTTTCTGTAGTATTCAGTGATAGCCTGTGTATTAACTCCCAAGTTGATTCTATTCCTAAAGTTGTACCCTTTGGCAAATGACTTCACCTGAAATAAATAAAATACAGTAATCCCTACATAAATTCAGCCATAAAGCAGAATTTAAAATGTAATATGACTATTTACCACTACTGCTGTGACTACACAATTAACATGTTTGTTGTAGAACAGATTAGGTAACCCCTACTGAGACAACTAGTGTTGGAGGTTTTACTATGTTTGGGTTGGAAGGATTTAGTATAGTTTGACTGTTGGTGAGCCTAAGCTTACTTTCACCTGTGTGATTGTCTGATTTTTAGAATATTTTATGTTTACTACAAGATCATGAGGCATTTGGTATAAAATAGATTTTATCACCATTGTTAAAAATGTAATTTCCTCTCTGCCTACCTGCAATGCCGTGGTATCTCAATTATTTCCAAGTGGTATTAGTGTGTGGCTGTGACAGACTGTTCCATGCTGTGTTTTTCTCCACTGTGCATCCTGTCTGAAGAATTTAAGTCTTTGGACTCAAACCTCTGTGTGACTCCACTGTAAAATGTTTTGACTGATTATTACTCATTACTGTGTACATTATTTCAAACCTTACACTGTAATTACCATAAGAAGAAATGTTTGAGTACTATCAAGTTATGTTTATAACAGTATACCCATACAGCCTAAAGAAGTCAGGAGGGTGGGAGAGGTGGCAGGGGGCCACTTGTTTTCAAGGCGCCTTAACTATAAAGTGCTGCAGGAAACACTGTAGCTTGGGTAGAATATGGTTCTGAACAAGGGCCAGTCTAAAGAATGACAGAAGTGTTTTCATCAATCTAGATGCCAGGGCAGCTGTGGCTCATGGCTACTGTACTTGCTTACTACCACAGTATGGAATGAATGAAAACAAAAGTGTTTGAGCATATGGAGAAGCACAATGCTAAACTAATGTATTATTATTCAGTGGACTCAGATGAATTTGAGACCCACTAATTAAAAATTTAACCTATTCAATGGTCATGATAGGTCGGTTATGAAGCTGTCATAGCAGTCTAGAGGTATGCTGTGGTAAAAGCAGCCAGCTGTTGAATTTATTAGAGGCAGAGAAAAGGGTGGAGACAGGAATAGGAGGGGCCTGTAAGTGCTGGAGCCTAAGGCATGTTGTTATTATGAAAATCGCTTGCACTTGTGTCAACAGTCAGAATCTTTATTGAAGAGGCTGTTCTGTCATTGTAGTCCTGCATCCCCATCCTGTAATGTGATTCAGTGTTGTGATGGGTGTTCAGTGGCTGTGCTGCTGTGCTTTGCTGTTTGTGCCCCTGACCTTGCAGAGACTATCGAAGATCAGCAGTGTGCACTTTCTTTTTGCTTATGTTTTCTAGAAAACCGTTTAGGTCTTGCTGGCACTGGTTTTTGTAACTATTAGTGAATATATTGTTTTGAAATTTTGGTGTGGGCAATATTAACCAAAAACCATATTTTTTGGAGTGCCCTGAAGAAGATACTTTTGCAATCCAACAGAAATTAACTAAAATGTATCTTGAAATGTTTTAAATTGAGGTTCATTTATCAGACAATTGTGAAACAACTTTAAAATTACGAACAAAAGTGCAGAAATATTGCTTTTTGGTATGAATTGCAAAAATTATAAATATACTTGATTCTCAAATTTTGCGTATCGCCAAAACAACATTTGCAATATTCTCATTAAATAAAATAAATAAATAAAATATACTGTTAATAATCTGCTATATTGTGCGATGCCTACCCCTTCGGAAAGTTATCTTCTCAACTATTGCAATAAAATAATGCCAGCTGTAAAGAACTGTAAAGATGACTATTAAGTGTACCTTATTGTAGTGGACACATAAGAGTACAATAGCGTGGTCACATTAATGGATGGAAATCGTTTGGTAGTTGTTTAACCTCAGGCAGTACATCATGTCAAGGAGAACAAGGTCATCTGCTTGATGCAAATACAGTATAACCTAATCTGTATGTATTTAAATCACTTATGATAACCAAATTGACATGGTTTGGCGAGAGTTGATACAATGATTCTTATATATATTTCTTGACTAGACTGTGAAGCAAATCCATGAATGCAGTAGTTACTACTACCATTATTACTCCTACTATTACAGTCCAAAGGGTCCGTTTAGTGACCTTGCTTAAAATGGCCTAAACCAAATGCATATTACTACTCTTCTCAATCACTTTCCAGTATTACAGGATCTTGTTTGTTACTCAGCTTGTTTATTTTTTTCTAGGGACTGTGCATATCAATGAACATCTGATTCTGTAGCCCTTAAATTGTAAATATTTATATAGCAATTATAGCAAAGGTGCTAATTTCCATGTGTTGTGCCTAGGCAGGTAGTAAATACACACACATACACACACACATTTATTGTTAATAAGAATTTTTACTTCGTCATACTGATACCACAACAGTGTTGAGATTACAAGTAAAGTGACACAACCAACAGAAAGTATTGAGGGTTAAGTTGTTCGCCTGTTGGCTGCACCAGTTTCCCAGTGTGCGCCCAAGGCTCAGCTGACACTGTGCTGCAGGGATAAATCCTCTTTGCATGGCTAGTGATCAGGCCCTGATGTAAAGGAGCTTAGTAGTGGTATAGACAGCTACGCAAGACGCCGCCCCCCCTGTTGGCATGGAGACAGGTGATCAGATACTCCCAGAGGACAGACAACAGCACAATTTGGAAAAGGAGTGAGATGGGTGTGATTTAAGTGCATTAGGAATGAGGTGTTTTTATATGTTATATTATTTATAGAATGATTTTGGCAAGGCTTTCAAACAATTCCAGGTATTGTTGCGTTTTTATAAATTTTATTTTGTCCTTTTCCACAGGTCTGTCCTCCTCCCTTTCCCCTGACCATCTGTCTCTAAGCCCGTTGCTATGGAGAACTCCTCTGTTGCATCTGCATCGTCTGAAGCAGGGAGCACACGCTCTCAAGAAATCGAAGAGCTGGAACGCTTCATTGACAGCTACGTGCTGGAGTATCAGGTGCAGGGGCTTCTAGGAGAAAAGGGAGACGAAGACTTGGACTTGGACAATAGTGGCAACTTGACACAAGTGGTAAGTTTGATTTTTACTTTAAAAAAATCTAAACTTTTAGACTGAAGTGATCATATTTGTATTAATAAAATCCTTAATGAATGAGTATTATGCTATAAATAGTAATAATAGCTTTGTCATCTTTCTTGCACAGTGGACCGACGACTGCAACAACCAGAAAGAGTGGACGTCATCACATGGTACAGGATCATTTAAACCAGTAAGTACTACTTTCTTCTGCATGTGGCTTATGCGACAGTGGTTTTGTTGGTAGAGTTCCTCTTATGATCCTTACTCCTGTGGTGCATACTATAGTTATATACGAGAGCATATTGCTATATACCACGTTTGGATAAGGAATTATGTCAGTGTTATTGTTGACCACTGAATAACTTTGAGTAATCTCTACTGAAACCGCACTGACAGTATATGAGCATTGGCCTACTACTGCAAGAAAACTCATGGATACTTTTTGAGTATTCATGAGAGTAGGAGGTGTGCCTAAACTTTAACTTTGATGCAGTATCATCAACAGTATTTTTGGTATATTGTTGAGGCACTGGAATCACTACAAATCAAGGAAACTTGATTAGGTAATACAAATGACCTAAATGACTGAAATGGATGGAATGGAATAGAAAATGACCGACTGACTGTTTTGATTATTAAAATGAAGTATGTATGTTTAAGAATTGTGATATATTGTAAAATATGATTTGTTATAGGGCTCAGCAAAAAATTATTTCTTTTCCCCATATTGATTGATCTTGTATTTCGATTCAATTCATTATTCATGATTGAAAACAGACATATTTTAGGCATAAAGAGCAGAGTGTCAGGACCACTACAGTTTTATGTCACGTTGTTATGGAGAAATCTACATGTAAAGTTTGGAATGAGTTTGTAAAATATATTAAACCTAAAAGCATATGCACATTACCGCTAGCAGCCGAAACACATATACGTGTGCTAGCAATATCAACTGGATATCAACCAGACATCCCGAAAAATTCAGGACAGTCCTGAAATTTTAGCTGCTGTTTTGAATACTGAATTTGGCCCTAAATGTCCTGAAAATTACTCTAAAAAGGAATAGTAAGTAGTTATTTTTTTGATAAACATTAAAAACTGTTTGTTTGTAGTAGAGCCCGACTGATATGGATTTTGTTGTGGCCGATATGAAACCGATATAATGGGAGTTGGGGCTGCCGATAGCCGATATAATCGCCGATATATTTAGTGATGTAAAAATTCACTGTAAATCTTGAATTGATTAAAAAACTTAGGTTTGGCTCTAGTGAATTCTAAATTGGGTTTATTTAGGCAACATTTATTGTTATTTTGACTCTTTACATCATATTTACATACAGTAGATTGGCCTAATGGCATTTTTGCATCACATTCTAGCTACTGTTACTGTCACTGCTAGTGATGGGTATTCCAGTTTTTTTGGGGTTTTTTTTGGAGAACCGGCTCGGCTCACTAAAGCAGCTGGCTCTTTCGGCTCCCAAGCGACTCTTGAGATTGTTTTGTTGCAAGCAGGACTAAACCAGAACTGAACCAGGACTGAGTGTCGGGACTCGGTTTCTATCTTTCTCCTTCACTCGAGCCCAAGATTAGTCCTGGTTTATTCATTTTATGCTGAACTGCAGCCAAATATGCACTTTTTTTTATCCTATGCACACGCAGATTTCTGAAAGTTTAGTTTTCAGCCGCTGCTGCTGTCAAACTACAGGTCTACATGCGGCATGAAGAGAAAAAGTGAGAAAAAGAGAAAACACGGCTCCCAATAAGAAACATGCTCCCGTTGTTCGCTTCAAAGAGCCGGATCTAAGAGCCGCTTCGATCGCGACCGACCCATAACTCCTAGCTAGTAAACTATCGCTATTAGCCTTTAGCCATAAAAATGTGTGCACCGCAGTAATTAATTATATGCATAAATGTGGATCATTCACACGTCTATTCACAGCTCATTTACATATCAATACTGGTCCAGTAACAAATATACGGCCAATATAGTCACCTTACAATAGACCAATAGAAAACAGCCTGTTTATGTGTGGGAGCTACAGCAGCTAATTGCTAACAAAACCTAAACTAGCTTCAAAGTCGATGTATTTCCAACACTCACCGCTCACACGGGCTCCTCCTCACATCACAAGTCTGCACTAATAAATGTCCTTTTAATCCAGACTCAAACCGATTGTCCGAAAAAGAATATAATCTCAATGTTGCGCACCACTGCGGGTGTAAACAAACACATGCGAGTGAAGTGACGTCACTCTGGTGGTGTGTTCAGGGACAGTACGGACACAGACACAGACAAATTACACCGTTGATAAATACTGATGCGGAGCCACACATTAGGATATTTATCTGTCTGTAAATTGGATTAAATGAACATAATGTAGAGAGTCTAAGCTTTATAGCGAGATATAACATGCCCACGTGAAATATCGGCTCATATCAGCAAGCATATCGGCCAATAGCCGATATGTCTCCAGGTGCCCATATTGGCCGATATATCGGTCGGGCTCTAGTTTGTAGAGAGGTTGAGTCGCCTGCATTCAGCTCTGACTGCTGCTGATAGGCTGCACACAGCCTCAGGCTACAGTCTGTCTACTTTATTTTTTAACCTTCTACAATTAAGCACTGCCAATAAGCTAATTTTTATTAATTTGACATGTGTCAAAGCCGGTATCGGGAGGAGTGGGTGGACAAGTTCCCGTGAATTGCCAAAGCCCTAAACAATGAAATGAAAGCATTCTGTAAAGTGTGTAGAAAAGAGGGGAGGCAGATATTAGCCTGCATGCTAACAGCAAATTACACTGTAGGGTCAATCCACACCAAATCTCCGAATGCCCCCACCCAACCATCTCAGATTTGATTGAAGAAATTCTAGGAGGTTCGCACACTTTCCAATAGGAAAAGTCCCAAATTTTAGCTCCCAACTTCATATAATTTTGTCATTAAAAATATTTTGTCAACTCCCCCTGACCTGCTTTGAGCAGAGTTGTCCAATTAGCCACTTTCAGATTGCGGTATCTAAAAAACTATTTAAGGTAGGTCCTTTAAATTTTCAAGGATTAAATTTTGGCAAATGTACTTGTAGAATATGAACTTTTACACATGTGCTTTTGAGTTATCACAGATTTCTGGGGACTTGAATTTGCTTGAAAATTCTACTCTTTAAAGGACTGTGGAAAGTTTCATTTCAAAGACAGGTTTGATATTGAACATACACCTTAAAATACAAAGTACACAGCATGTGTGGATGCTGTATACTGTCTTGTATTTTAAAACTGACCCTCTGTGATGAACACTCTAGAAAATATTAAGTATTAAAAATGGAAAAAATAAATTTGATGACATCTTTACCCTGTTATACCAAAAAAACAAAACAAAAGAATAGCACCCAACAACATAAAATGGACTGTTTTAGAGAGACGAGATGTCTATTTTTAACATATCCAAAATTTGTGATGATGTTCTGCCTTATTTTTGGAAAATTAATTTTTGAAAATGTGGTGTCCACACACATGCGTAGCATTCATGGACTATGAAGGCAAGAAAACACTGAACATACACATGACATACACACACATGACACACATCTTAAACTCAACAAAATGTTTCATTTCATTCTTAATAAACTATACTTGAAGTATAACTTATGTGTAGTCTTTAAATATAGAAATAGAAACATGTCTGTTACGATCCTGCGTAAAGACAGAAAACAAATAGAGGGAGGCGAGGGGTTATATATGTTTTTTAACTAAAGAACTAAAAAAACATACACAATGTGGTGGGTCAGTAAGTCAGTCGTCGTCAGTCATGGTGAGATGTTCTGAGTGTGATGTTGCTGTGTAAAAATCAAACTAAAGATGGCATGAGTATGTGAAGTCCATGGCTGACAAGCTGGAAAGCAGATTTGCAAATGTACTCGCAGTGCCAGGTATCAGAGAGGTTTCACAGGGCTTCCAAATCAGTGACATGATCTGGCCAATATGTAACCTGTGTTTATGACCATCACAGGTGGGTGGGAAGCATTAGAGAGACATCTGAAGCCCAGCAAGATGTGCAGATAAATAATTCATGCATCCACACAACCCAGCAAAAAGTTTCTTCTGGCCCAGGAGAGAAAACTTGTGCTGGGTACCTTTACAACACATAATTTCTAAAATAGATGTTCCTAGCATTACAACAGGATGCCTATATTCAAGAGTGTTACACCAAAACATCTGAAAGTTTCCTCAAAGAGTAGAGCTAATTTACAATAGTTGAGTAATCAAATCAAGCATTTTGTTGAGTTTAAACTGTGTGTCATATATTCAGTGTGTTCTTAGCTTCTGAAAGTGCCTTCAGAGTCCATGAATGCTATGCATGTATGTGGACACCACATTTTCAAAATTCATTTTGCAAAAATAAGGCAGAACACCATCACAAATTTTGGGTATGTTTTAAGAACAGACATCTAGTCTTTCTAAAATGGTCCATTTTATGTTGGTGGGTGCTATCATTTTTTTTTGGTATAACATAGTAAAGATGGCACCAAAGTTTAAAATACAAAGTACACAGCATGTGTGGGAAGGTGTATGTTCAATATCAAACCTCTGTCTTTGAAATTGCACTTTCAACAGTCCTTTAAAGATGCCCTCAGATTTAAAGAGTAGAATTTTCAAGCAAATTCAAGCCCCCAGAAATCTGTGTTAAATCAAAAACACATGTGTAAAAGTTCATATTCTACAAGTACATTTGCCAAAATTTAATCCTTGAAAATTTGAAGGACCTACCATAAATAGTTTTTTAGATACAGCAATCTGAAAGTGGCTCCTTGGACAACTCTACTCAAAACAGGTCAGGGGGGAGTTGACAAAATATTTTTAATGACAAACTCCAAAACTCAAAAAAGGAGTTGGGAGCTAAAATTTGGGACTTTTCCTATTGGAAAGTGTGTGAACCTTATAGAATTTTTTCTGGTCACCCTAATATCAACAGAATCACGTGCGATGTTTGTGTGCTAAATGAGGACTTAAGTTTCACTCATAAACTAAACAGTGGGAAAATAGTCATTTACTTTCCATAACTTGGATTATAATTGTAAGCACAAAAGGAGAGAAAGAGGAGAAAAGGTGAGGATCTGCACCTGGATCAGAAAGGGAGAGGGAGGGGAAGTAAGACGCAGATAGACACACATGGAGACAGAGGGAGAGACACTGGACTTTTAGTCAAATTGTGCAGATTTAAGTCAAAACTTGTGAACACATGAGGAGACAAAGAAACACGCTGTGGCTGCTTTTTCCTGAACAAGAGCATAAATCCTCGTCAGCACCACGTGCTCTTACTGCCACATGATTGGCTATAGACCTGTTGATTAAAATGCTCATGCTGTATCATCGAGATCGACCGAAGTAGAGATCGTGATCTACTGATCTTTCAATTTTTGGCACAGCCCTAATGTGTTATATACTGATTGTCGTATGATGTTGTATCATGATTATTATTGAATAGTGAGCCATCAAATTATGATAGACTTTGCAGGTGATTAAAAAAAAGAATAGTTCACTATTTCTGTACATTCTCCTAATAACATTTTTTGCAATCAGTGGCTGTTTAAATTCACATCAAAATCTGATTATTATCTGATTTCTGGACATTGAACATTTAAATTGTCAATTGTAAATGTAAACTGCTAAATCTGATGTGAGCAATCAGAGGGATCATGATCAGAAAGAAATTAGATTATAGAGCAGTGTACATATCATTTTAATAATTTGAGCTCTAAAAGAAATCTCATAATAATTACGATTAGAGTGTGCAACCAATTTAAAAAAACTTGCACTGAGTGTGGGGTCAAATTAGCATAATAAGTTAAAAAGTTGATAAGAAAGGGAATCCTTCCTTGAACAGAAATGGAGGACTCAGACATCATTTGTCTCCTATTTACAACTCCATCCTCAACCATAAATCAAAACAAACAAAACAATAGGGATGGTGTGAAAGCACCCATTATGGCCCTGAATGGTTATACTAATTTGACCCAGACCTACAGACCAGATGTCTTCAATAGGCCTAAATTCAATAGGCCTAGCTAACTAACAGAAACTGTAAACAAGCAGGTGTGTTAGTTTCAGACTAGTTTCACTGTAGTTAGCTCCTCCTTTCAGACAGATATAAGGCAGTGTCCACCAGCGTCCTTGGATGAGCTGTGAAACATATTTGACCAAATAAACTTTTGTCCTGTTGACAAACTGAATTTCTCCTTTTACCATAAAAAACCTATAAATGTTTTCTTTTGTAAACCTCAAAATAATGGTGTATATTATATCATTCATATCATATAACAATATTATTTATATCTGTTGTCTTTTTAAACATGTCATTGTGTTTTTACAGGATGAGTGGGAGCACAGCAGTAACGGAAGCACTGGGTCCAGACCAAGCTCAGGCTCTAGACCCGGCTCTGGCTCGCGGTCAGGCAGCAAAAGCAGAAACAACCAGTTCAGAGGCCACTCTAAGGTGAGAGTTACAGTGTACACTGCTAATGCACCATAATGCCTGTTAAGTGGAAAACATTTCTTTTTACATCTTGTAATATCCTGTCATCTAGAATGGTAACATGGATGGCTTTGACATCTTGGGTACTGACATATGGGCTGCTAACACAATGGACTCACTTGGGTAAGTGCTTTGCTTTAGGAAATTCATTGCTCAGTAACACAGTATTATAGACAGAAAGTCTGTCAGAAAGAGCCTTCACTTCAGTTATGTTGTGTTTAATTTTACATTTTTGCCAAATCAAAATGTCTGAAGATGAAAATTGGCACCATGAACATACTGAATTTGTATTTTTGACAAGATGGAAGTGCAGTTTTATATGATATATATCTATAATTCAAATAATAGATTTTAATTCAATTTATTACAGGCAGGCACAGTGCATACTAAACCTCATTAAATTAGACTTCCTCACCAACTGCACGCATGTGGTACATCTAGTACAGAGAAATGCAGCTTACTTCAGTAGAGCACAAAACTTTAATATTATATTAAAAAGCAGCTGTCTGAAATTGTCTTTATTTTCAAGATTCACCTTTGATTTGGTGTGAATGAGTAACTGTCATTTAATGCTGTAATATATTTTTGAGCAGTGATGTGACACAACTGTGAGGAAAAATACAAATATATATTTAAATTTCAAGCAGTGTTGACTGTTGGTTGGTTCAGTGAAGTTTGGCATTAAAGAAAGATGAAAAGATGAGGATAACAATGGGTACTTCAGCTTTATTGTTCTTCTCTTAAGCTCTTAAGTTGCTTACCTTATTTTTACTTTTACATTATGTCTGTATTTAAGCATATATTGGCACTTTTCTTCACCATTACCCCTTTAGCGGTACTGGTTGGGATGTACAACCAGAGAAGCTGGATTTTAGCCATTTCCACAGAAGAACCCCGAGGGGATCACCAAAGCATCTGCCACACATTGAAAGAGAGGGGTAATAAATCATTCTGTAATAAAGACATCTTAGAAGTCATGGTACACATACTCTAACCTCTGCATTCTGCCCATAGGATGAATAAAGATCAGTGTGACGAGGACGATGGCATAGACATGAATGAGATTGAGAGGTTCCTGCCTCATCTGCGCTCTGTAAGTCACTTTCTTTCAAGGTTGTAATGCTGAACAAACCCGTGATGTTGTTGTTGTTTTTTTTGTCATTCATGTTTGTTGAGTAAATTTTACAAAAAAGTTTTGGACAATAATTTAGATTTGTGACTTTTGTATGGTTCCAAAATTGTGTCACATGGGAACAGAACTATTTTGTAGACTCTGCCACCAAGTGGCATGTTTCTGTAGGTACACTTAAATTAAAAATAAAGATTTTTAAATTAGAATAAAAAATTAGGAAATATATTTAGGAAGAATGTTAAACTTTGAAGTTTTCTTATGGCATCACAATACTCAATAATTGTTATTTGAGATTGTAAATTTTATTAATTCCATCTACTTGTTAAAGGTTTATCCTACCTCTACCTGTGCTCCTGGCTGCTTTTAAATGGAATAGAATCACAGATAGAATCTGAAAAAATCTGTTTAATAGTTTGAACTTAATATTTTAGTGAACAAATTATTTTGCCTCATTGCATGCTTTTTGAATTGGAGTCGAGTCTATGCTGGCATCTGCTGGTCAAAAGTTAATACAGCCAGAGGAATTGAATGTGGCTCTGTCATGACCCCTGGTGGAGCCTTGTAAGTATTACAGCTCTGTAAACATTCCTTCCCCGCTGTATTTCCTATATAGCAAATATGAGAGAAGGTTTGTCACTGCTAAATTGTCCTCCTTTTACTAGTATACTTTTTATTTTGTTAGCTATTATGCCCAAAATTATTATAATAATAATTATAATTATAATTATGCCCCTATATAACCCAAAACTTATAATTCAAAATTTAAAAATGGTTGCCTTTTGCTTTCATCACTGTTTTTCAGTATTGGTATTTCTTGATCTTGACCGGGCACAGCTTTGAAATGAAAACTTTTTCAGCAGACTTCATCCAGAAGCTCATTGAGAGAAAGCAAAGGGTGGATACTTTGCTAAATATTCTGTTGAGTTATTTACCTTAAACTTTATTTCTTTCCTACATATTTCCATATATCTTGTATCAGCTTGATGTCTTGTTCATTTATATAAAATGTAGAAAGTAGTAAACTTAGAAGAAAAAAAACATTGAATATATGGGTGTGTCTAAATTTTTGACTTGTAGTGTATTTACACCAAATCACTTTCATAGTGTTTGAACTCTTTGACTTGCTCTTCCAACTGAGCTCTTTAGTCTAGTAACTCCTTCACTCTTCTATGATGGATTCCTCATTTTTGCCGTTCTCTCTGCTGCCAAGTTTACAGTTTCCGTTCATTCAGCGTGAACCAAATATCAGACCTGTTACATTTCTCTGCTGGATTGGACACATGCGGACACAGGAAACACAGAGGGGTCACTGGACTGTTTGACCCGTTTCAAACTCTATTAAGACATGACAAAACACAAGACATTTTAGTTTTTATTTGCCATATTCACATCTCTTAGTAATAAGTTGTAGCCTTTTGCTTCAGAATTGAGTAAATCAGATCATGACTAAATCACATGGAGATTACTGATCAGATATTGAAGGCACAAAGAATATTTCAGGGGATTTTCTGTGTGGATGGCAAGACATGGCGCGATGGGATTGTCTTAACTGGAACTGTTTTGCAAGTGTCCTTACATTACCCATTTTCAGTACAAAATTTCCATCTTTGGTTTTGTGCTAACTGAGGTTTCAGCAAACATAAAGCGTAATAAACAATGATTTAATACATAATGACCACATCTGAACATGCCGTCAGAAATACTGTACTTTTAACTTGTGTACATCAGAAAAGCGAAGATATTCAATTGTTTTAGTTGTTGTAAACTGTTAAATGATATTTGAGAAAGCCAAGAGATAAATAGTCAAAAGTTCTATCACAAATATTTTAAGATCGTATGCATCTATATACCATGAACTATAGTTAGTAATTTAACTATCTCCTAGACTTGCCCTGTTGTCACCTCCAGCTACTGTATGGCTACATCATTCAAAGTCCCCGTCTACCTTCCGCACTTCCTGCCAATATCACTTCCTTTTTCCACGAGCCAGAATAACTTCCAAAGAGCCATGGGATGTGGAAAAAACATCTTGTTTGAGTGTGTGGGTGTGTGAGGCAGTCCAGTGAGAAAGGGCTTCCTCCTCTTGCCCTGGGATTATGCTGCACCTTCCCTGGCCTCTCTGGAATGTCATCCTGAATGCACACTAGCCACACACTAAGTCAGCCAGCACGTCCACTGTCATGTTGTAATGGCACAGGAATGTAGGATCCAGAAGGACACGTTTTGTTGTTTCGATTTATGGCAGGTATTTCTTACTGTCCAATGTGGATTCACACTTGGCCACAATATAGCAAACAACTCTGTGTGCATTTCTATTGAGGGATATTAACTCTAGATGAATAATTTAAACCTAGGCTACCTCCGACCTCCAACACTTGTAAAAACCGGATGGGACATTTTTCCGATAAAATGGGGATTTTGTTTATTCTTGGCTCACTTCACTTTGTCCTGAGTCTGACGTAGTACAGTGTGGACACTTGCATGATGTTTGGCTCATCAGCACAATTGTGTCAGCGAGATCCCCAATGTTGTGACAGCTACACTGTTTGTGTTGCCAGAGGGTTTGTGTGGGAGTTCTCTACATTTACCTGTGAAATGATGCTAGCAAACATTTACCCACCCATGTCTTTTCAGCTTAAGGTGACAGCATGTCAAAACATGGCTCCAAAAGCACATAATTGTATGGAGTTGTATGGAGATTTAAGTAAATAGCTGGTTGTCATTGTCTTGAATGTTATCTAAAAATATACAAAAAAGTATAATAGCATATAAATTCAGTATATACATTGCAACCACTACTGTCAATAAGTATATTCGGTTTTGCTAAATTACTTGCTGAAATCAGCAAACACACTTTCTAAGGTAACTCTTTAAATAACATGAAAATGTTAAGACATGGTTTGTAAATTATTCTGTACACTAAACTGACAGAATTTATGTAATAATAAATGAGGGGGGATAGGGTGAGAAAGCCACCAGGCCACAAGAAGACATCCGGTCTGTAGGTCCGGTGAACAAAGCCGTCCAACGGGAACAAAGCTGCAGTCTGGAGCAGAGACAGCACAGACTGGTTGGCCCCAGCGCTTGGAAGTGTACGTGCCTCAGAGCAGGACTGTAACTGCTGAGAGACACCGGGGGCGGGCGCACTGTTGTGGTGGGTTGTCTGTCAGCTGCCAGTTTGTGTGGGATTTGTACTCCCTTCTAAATAATCTGCATACTGTATTTCTTTCATCACACAACAAGTTTATTGTCCATCTCATTTTTGACCAGTCTCTTGCTGCATCTTCCTATTAGTTGTTTCCGTTTTCCTCTGGTCTTCATCACCCTGGGACCTCCTATGTCCTCTTATGGTGTTGTCCTTCAGTCTTCCCATCCATCCTTCAAATATTGGTGGGCAGCAGAACAATATGCTGGGGGTCATGGCGACCGGCAACCCCCTCCCTGCAGACTCTTCCTGTCATTGTCCTGGTTTTTACTTCTGGTTGGCTCCTGCTACCCACACACTGCAGGCGTAATGACAGCCGTACGCTGCACTGGTTTCATTGTGAGCATGGGAGAGTCTGGGGGGACATGTGTGGAAGCGGGTTACCTGGACACTTGCCACAGAGCAAGACAATTATTGCCTCTGAGCTGTCCAAGGCGAATCAGCAACACTTTTGAACAATGCTCAACCAGACTTTTTCACTTGCTATTCTAGTGAAGACTAAAAGTAGTGCTTACATTTCTTTCTCTTGTTTTTAGTGCAATTAACATATGGAACACATTGCTGGCACAACACTGTTTTGAGTAGTCAACAATATGATGAACAATATTTTAAGATTGTGGTCTTTAGGTTGTTGTTTTTGCTGGGCCTCTTGTCATAAATTACATTGTATAAGTGTTTCCAGAATGCTGTGAATTGGCAATGACCACCTGGGGCAAAGTCACTCATGCCTAACAGCAAGAAGGTTCCAGATTCAATCCCCGGGTCACCTAGACCTTTCTGTGTGGAGTTTGCATGTTTCTCCCCATGTCTGGATGGGATTTCCCCATCAACCTAAAACATGCTACATAGGTCTCCGGGAAGAACAGTTGATAGCCAAGGTCAGTTAATTACAATAAATCAATGAACCTGCCCAGGGACTAAAGGTGGAAATTAACACTGGTTCTACAACCTGGTAAAGCATCTTTCCTGTTAAGGTTAATGCAAAAATTGTGCACTCTCCCTGTCTCATTAAATAAAAATAAATTAAAAACTCATAAGGCATAAGGCCTGATCATTTGATTTACCAAAAATGTTATCAAAAATATAAAATGACAAAGGCAACCCAAAACTAAATAAATGTAGAAGCAACATACTAATCTACTACTCATACTAATCATACTAATCAAATTATCCACTTCACTGAGTCAGGACTATGTCAAGTGCTTTTAAGTGAATAAGTTCAACTGGGGTGTACGCATGACATGTACTGTCCTTTTTATCTATGTAAAAAGGGTCTGTACAGAGTTGTAATGGCGTGAAACCTCTGCAGGAGTCACCTGATTACATTTCTATAGGGTGCTCTGTGTTTTCAGAGTTTTCTGCCTTACACTTTGATCTACAGTGGCTCCATCTCTCCCTGCAGGAGAGGACTTTGAAGCACCTGTCTATCTGCGGCTTCACATCGCTTATTAAATGAGACATGGATGTCAGAGCCTCACATCTTTGCCTCTTATCACCCATCACCCATTATACCTGACTGTGGCACTTTTAAATCTCTCCTCTCTGCTCTGCTGGCAGGCTTCAGCTGCAGTGGAACTTACATGAAAGGCAGAATGTAGGGATCACGGAACACAGGCCCACAAATCCTTCAACATGAGCTTTTACACAAAGTCAATTTGAGAAATGCCTAATCTCAACTTGATTTCAGACATAAGTGAAGTAGATATCTACCAGTATTCCTCATGTTTTCTGCAGAGTAAAAAAATTGACAGTTAGAATTTGTTTTATTTTACTACTTTGACTTTTTCTTGATATGATCTCAATATGAGTAAAATCTATAAAGAATTTAAGATACCAATTATTTTAATAAACATTGACATCAAAATATTCTGTGTGTTAATATTCAACAGTAACTAGCCAAGCAGCCAAGTTATTTGAGCTTGCATGCCCTTCCTCTATATGAATTTCATACCATCTTGTATTTTCAATCTCTCACGTTGTCATTCTTCATATCCTTTTCTCTCTTCAACAACCTGTCCTGTAATGCCACCCCTGGGGCAGTTCAAAATTTATTGTTCTTGGCCAAGGGCCCTTGTAACATAAATAAGCCGAAAGAAACAATGGACTGAGTGAATGAGCACCACAGTCGAATTGTCGTACACTAGAGGGAACAGGAAGATGCACACTTCACTTTCTATGCCATTAAACTGGAGCTTATAGTTTTCGTTTCTATTCCACACATTTCTATTGCTGTGCTCTTTGCTCATTTCCCTACTTTCCTTCCTTGTTACTTATACCCTTGTATCCAGGCATATTTTGTTTTGGAAAGACTTTGTTGATAATAAGTGTAAGGTTATATCAATTCTACACATTTAGGAGCTTTGAAGCAAGTTGTTGAAAGGCCATACACAGAGAACATCAGCTAGTTAAAGTAATGGGCATTTTACCTAAAGATTTCTAGCTGTGTTAATCATAACTAGGCTATGTTAATATATCAATTTGACTGAACTTAAAACTTGAACAATTAATATGTTTATGCTAATAACCATGGTTTTGCGTTTATTTTGCATGTGGACGAACCAGAAATATAATAATAAAACTCAAATAAGGTGCAAAATACTTTGCTGGTCAGAGCATAGGAGAGCATACAGATTGTAATCAGTCTGAAGCCGGGATTCAAACTTAAATCAACCTTACCCTGCATATGCTCCACAGCGCCAACCATTGAGCCACACACATACCGTAAATAAAGAAATCATTCAACTGTAAAGCTTGGAGTGGGTTACATTGGTATTTCAGTATACAGCACTGTCTGTTTTTGATGAAATCCACAAAGTTCAACCTCCAGTATGATGTCTGTCTTTCAGTGGTCCAGTCCTGTTGTAGCTTCTAAAGCCCCTCTTACTCTCCCTGTCACGTCCACAGAGCTGGCTGTGGCTGCCGCGGGGTCAGAGGTTCGCTGGCTGCTGACCAGCACAGCACACACCCTGCTTTGATCTATCATACACTGACTGCCACCTACAGATAGGACTTTCACATACACACAGTGTAGTCTGCTTTCAAAAGCTCTCCATTACCCTGCTCTGTGTTTGTGTCACATGTGCGTACAGAGTACATCAAGTTATGTGTGTTATATATTGTATTTTTTATTGGTTGTGCTAATGGTTAATGTAACTTTTTTGTCTTGTGTTAAACTGGTCTTCTGTGATTATTACTGTGTTTTCGAAATATACTATATACACTATACTGTCCTAGATACAGAGTTAATAGCTATAGTATAAGTATTAGCAGTTGGTATTATGTTAAAATACTATTGTTGTCATGGGTCTTAACGGAGTTGTTTATAAATTGTTGTGTACTTGTGCACTATTGCCATTCTGAATTCTTTAGCTTGTGCACTCCCCGTCATCTGGTTACTATTTGAAGGCAGAATTACGGCTAATGATATCCTAGAGGAGAACTACAGTAGCAAACATGCAACCATTCGTCTTTCATTCTTCATGAGACCTCGCCTTCTTTGTCATCCCCACAGACTTCAAGTTGGAACTCACATAGTGTAGGATTTTTAAAAGTGTTCATTTTTATTCTGCCACAGAAATACAGTTCTCTGTTCTTTTTCTCTGTCACATCTGGATTCAATTAGGACCCCAACAATTTGCAAGAAGGTGCAGAGCAGAGCACCAATGTCGTGTAACAAACTCCTTAAGCACAACATCATGAGGCATTTTAGTGTGTTTGTTTTTTTGTTCTTTTTTTTTTTTTTTTTTTTTCAATTATTGTTATATTAAGGTCATTTTGGCCAACATTGTCTTTGTGTCAAATCTGAGAAGGCTTATTTAATGAGGTACATTTCTACTCATAACACACTTACTATCAATAGGAGCATCAGCCTCCAAAATTTTATAACTGTTGGTAGGGTTATTAAATGCCACAGATTTGCTTTTACTTTGATATATAGCATGCAAGTACCACCTGAAGGAGTACCACTGTTTGACAAACACAGGACTAGACTAACTATCTGAGAGTTACTGTTCTTAATTTAACATCACTGAAACGGTTATAGAACATGCCTGGAACACAAACATCTAGTAACTAAGGGCCATTGTAACTATTAGAATTATGCAGATTGGTCGTTTTTATTTATTTATTCAATATTTTACCAGGTAAGTCAATTGAGAACACCTTCTCATTTGCATTGATGACCTGGCTTGGTAAATGAATTGATATCATTCAGTATTGCAATTGTATTAATAACAGATCTAAGAATTTTACTGTTGTGCGATTTGTGTCATTTATTTAACCACCCTGTTGTTATTATAAACAGTAGTAACTGGTAACGTACTGATAAAAAATATATACTAATACTGGTCCAAAATACTTCAATATCAAATTTTAGGTATTGCACAATAGTAGTAATGTATATAATAGTGGCTAATGTTTTGTTTTGTTTGTTTCCTAAGGTCTTTCCACCACTTCCTAATGAAGCTGAAATTGCAAACACCAAAAAGCTTTTTCGACGTAAAAGGAACGATCGACGGTATGTATGCTTTACACACGCCTATCACATAGAGACAGCCTGTTGTTGATGATGTCAGTTAGTACAAAATTGCTAGCCCAATCCTGTTGTCACCTCAGTCAAAGCAACGTGAAGACAGGAATGCATGTTCCTCAAAGCGAGCAGAAAAAAGGAAAAAAGACATTGGTCTTTCTAGGCTTTGTCACTTAAGTAGGTGGGGTGTGGATGCTAATTAATCACCTCTGTATCTTGTTCACTAATTGCAACTTGTAGACATCTTTTGGCTTGTCTCAAAAGTCTTTACTCTACCACTCAATTTTGTCCCAGGATGCCTTTCTCTAATTGTAAACACTCTAATTGTAAACGTTTTTCAGCCACGTCGAACTTCATTGAATCCAGGTCCCTAAGAAAAAGGGAAAATAGCTCTGTCTCATTTTGTTGCTCTCTGGCCTGATGTCATTGGAAAACTGTTCTTCAGTTGCTATGAGACGGGGAAAAAAGGAAAATATTTGGGTCGTATTTGCGGTTTTAAAAAGAGGAAATTTTAGCTAGACTAAATGGACAAGAACACTTTCAACCTTGTTTTCAAGTCACATCATTGATTTGGAGCCGAAGCTTTTATTATGTACTATGATGGACATTTTAACTAAAAAAAAAAAAGCTTAGGAATTTTACTGTCTATTCTACATACAGTTGATATAAAATATAAATGTAGTACACCAGTGTTGTAGTAAATGAATAGATGTACTTAGAATATCTACAATATTACAGTAAAATCAGTGTTCCCACTACAAACAAACATTGTAAACAGACACATGCAGAGGATGCAACACCCTTACAAAAAGTGTACTCTGCACTTACAAGTATGGTGTAGATTTGTTATTACTGTAGCATAATTTCATGTTGGATAAGTATTCTTTGTTTAACCAAAGACAGACATGTGCCAGGGAATAAAACAATAAAAAGACATGATTAGGTTAAATGTGCTGGAACAAGACATCACCTCTCTGCCACATATTTAAGTAAACTCAAATCTCTTGCAATTTTTAGGAGATGTGGTTGCTTTTGAGAGTGTTTATTAACATTGTTCTAGACAAAATATAGTCTAGTTTGGTTATAAAATGGGTTAGGTAACGTGAACAACCCCAAAGTACTCAAAATATTGCAAAAACAATTTCAGGTGTTAAATTATAGAAGCCAATTTATAAAAACTCACAAACAAAAAGCCCGGACTGCAACTTTGGAGTCTGTGCAGGGAGGAGAATGTGAGGGGGACTCTGAGACAAGTGTGGGCTGACTGTGGCAGGAAGGAAAAGAAAAGGGAGGCAGTCCATGTGTTTCTACTTTAGCAGGCACGTCAGGCAGGGCTGAAATTAGTTGTGATTTACTGGAATGCGCCGCTTACTGCTCACAGCACAGAGGCCGAGAGAGCTAACATGCTGTGTATTACTTGATTGGGCAAAAAGCATGATTCTACTCATTGTAACTTTTTCTAATATTCTATTGAATGCACTTCGTCTGATTTAACACTAATCAAGCATGAGTATGTTTTAGAGGAATAGTTTCTTCATCCTGTCCCACATTTCTAATAGCAGTGAATTGGTATTGACTGTGCAGGCCTCTCTTCCCCTGGGCCAGATAAACACACACACACACACACACAGAGAGTGGTAGAGTCCTACCTGCTTTCCTCATAGTCATATTCATCAATCATATATTTCTAATGCATGCTTTTTTTCATGTAGTTGCCCACTTGTAGTTTCAAAATTTTGTTTGTTTCCTTTTTTTGCTGCTTTTTCTTTCTTTTTTTTTTTTTCCATCCATTTTTTTTCTATTGTTATTTCAACTTTCACACCTCCCACCACTTGCATTTCCATGCCCTGGCTCTCTGCATCTAGACCTACTGAACAGTTGAACCGAGAGCAGTTAACAGTGCTTCTGCCCACTGGTCCTGGGGGAAAACGGCAAGTCTCAACCAGGTCAGTGCTTACTGAAGCTGGACAGTCAACCATAACCTTTTTTCGTATTTATTGGTGCCGATTAAGGTGCTTTTTTATCACAAATTATATTTAGTTATATACCTAAAACAAATATTTGAGTTTGACTGAATACAAATATTTTGGCATTCATGCCAATTTAGTATGAATAGATACAGGTAAAGGAATAATGCCACAGACATAAGTAAAATTAATATTGTATTGTCATAAGGAATAAAAGCCTTTGATGAACCAGTTGTGGCAGAGAGAAGATGTTTCTGAGAAACCCGATATTGGCAGATGAAATTTAATCAGTCGTCCACTCATCTATCTTCAATATAAACATGGCTGTGGCAGTAATGTGACGGACGGATGGGTAATCCCTGCAATATCTACTGAACAGCTAGCACTCATTAAATATGATTAACATTTTATTAC